TGATTCTTATCCATCCATCGACATTCTTCTTCTGAACGATAAAAAAACATGCATAAACTGAAAACCTGTCCATTTTTGCACACTAAAGCAGCGTATTTTTTTTATTCCCTGAACACTGAAAATGTAAATCTAAAAAAGGTCACATGATACCGGAACAACTGGACATTAGAAGGCACCCTCAGAAGAGAGCACTTTGCCCCATATGTCCGAATTAAGCCCACGTGAGGGTGCAAAAGTTAATGGGCTTATTCTTTTGATCGGAAAAAGCCAGGATCTTTAGCTATCTTCGTTAGAAAGTTATAAGCAATTCCTTTTTTTCTCCTTTTTTTCCGCTAATAAAAGATGGAATTTTCCTCCACGCAGAGACATCATTAGTTTCGGTTGTTTATGCGTCGATACGTGTTATTCTGACATTATGTCATAATGTCAGAATAACACGTAGCGACGCATAAACAAACAACAGAAAACAATTTCTTTTCCAATGGTATAGGAAAAGAAATTGTTTTCTGTTTTTTTTTTCCCATCGAAAAAGTCCTTTGCGTGTTATAGAAATGTTATGTACATCAACACATAGTCAAGATGGAACAATTCAGACAGAGATAGTATAAAAGTGTCTGTGTTCTCTGAAGACCAAGAATAACAAAACACTATAACTAGAATTGTGTCCAGAATTCTTTTGAGAACCGGTAAGTATATTTACTTAGGTATGCTTCTAAAATCCATTAATTACTTCTAAACAAGTACTGTAAATCGAGGCGATCAACTCGGGCCTACATCCCCACACCATTCACAGACACACACTCACACATAACCCAGGCGAAAAAAATCAATCTTACGTTAAGCGTAAAGTGTCCGGTCAGTAAGAGTTCCTTATATAGGTAATGGGGTCTAGAGATTCAAAGGAATTTCAATAAATAATTCCTAGGAATCTAGAAATTCCTTTTTTGATTTTCTAGCAGTTGCAAATAGCTTCATGAAATTTCTAGATTCTTGGTAATTATTTATAGAAATTCCTTTAAATTTCCACTTAACAGAAATTCGGCAAGGGTGCAAATTAGCAAAACAAAGTTTTGGTTGAATTGAGCCTAAATTTATTATATTCAGAGCTGAAAAATTAAACTCAACGAAAACATCTGGCAGATATTTCATTTTGTAGCAAAATCAATAACGATTCTCGGACACAGCTTATTTTGGAAGAAAATTTGAAAACATAGTGTTTTTTACCTTCCCGTAGATACTTTTATAGGCAAAAATCGATTTTTTCATTCTCATCAGGGATGCATATACCAGAAAAGTTATTTATAAGAATCAGCTTGTTACGTTATCTGTTGTACCTTCTATTTTTGTTCTTGCCGTTTTCAATTTCAAGAAAATACTGGGCTAGACGGGCGGGCCTGAGATGTATCATTTCTTGCTTTTGAAGTAGCGATTGAACTGCGAGTGTTCACCATATTCGTTTATTAACAAACCTAGTCCTTCGTTATTTAATATGTAAAACAAATGACGCAAATGTATGAAATAAAATTCGCATGTGTTATGTTTAAAAACAAGCAAGTAATAAGATAGTTTTGATCTTGATTTTATACGCACAACATTAATTATAACATAATACGAAAAAAAAAAAGGACGTGGACGTTTAGAATATACAGAAAGAAATATGTATTGTACATAGGTCTGCTCCTTTTAGTGGATGGACAAAAGGAAAGAAAAATTTGATATATCAATAGAAAGTACTGCTCATTACTATATACACACGTTAAAGTTGTGTAAATTGACGGCAGTGATACATTGTTCTACCATGTAATTAAATTGTATTTCTTAGTAGAAACCATAAGCCGTAGAAAAACTATACTAATACTACTATTCATTTCAAAATAGAATGACTGAAGATGTGTCCTAAATAGTTTTACTGCGAAAAAATTATTCAGAGCAAGAGAAGAAATTGCTCGAACACATATAGTCTCTCTTAGTGCGTTTTATGAACTATAGTTCCGCTAAAAAAAAAGCGTTCTCAATTCTTCCTTATAAGGAAGAATAAGGAAGAATTGAGAACGCTTTTTTGTCTTCCTCATTCTCGATCGATTTAAGAGCAAGGACGAAGGTCGACGAAAGAAGTAAGCAAGAATGTATTCTACTATGACAAATATGTAAGAATAAGGTGATCGACTGAAATTTATTATAGGCATATGTCTAGCAGCTTACTAATGATAATAAGGCTTTCGTTGGGTTTGGTGACCAAACCAAACCCAAACTGTTTGGGATCACAAACCCCAAATCTTCACCAAACCCAAACCCATCAAACACAAATCCAAACTATTTGGGTACAAAACACAAATATGGCTTTGGATTTGGTGCATCCCTAACAGTAGGTAAGGAAAAAATAGATAAATTTACGGTTTAATCTATATGATATATTATTCAGTGCAGAGATGGGCGAGTACGCAGATTCTCGAGTAGGAGTACGAGTACTGAGCGTCGAGTATACGTACGAGTACGAGTATTTTCTAAAAAGTACTCGAGTACGAAACTTTTTAAAAGACAAAAATACTCATGAAAAAAGGTTTAGCTGCCAGACAATAGCCATTTTCAGTATCTTTCTGGCTATCAGTTAAAGGTGAGTTAGGTTCTAGTCTTAGTTTTTTTATTTTACTGTTTATTATTTATTTGTTTTACTTTATCTGAACACACAAGAATGAAACATTGTTCTAGAAGATCGTTATTGCATTTTAAAAAATGTTAACACGCATAACGTTGATGCTGATAACTTTGAACGATGTGGGCGGATGATAAAGCCGCTTTGAGAAAAAATTCTCTCTATTGATGCGGACGTCGCAGGGATAGTAAAATATTTTAGAGTTAATTTTGATAGATGAGGATATGATTCATGTTTCGCTAAAATAAGATCAATGTCCATTCTTTGTCCTTTACCTCAGCTATTCTGATACAGTTGAATTTATATTTAATATTCTTTTAGATGGATCTTCAAGATAAGGAAATAAATATAATAATAATAATAGAAGAAGAAGAAGAAAACAGCCTGATTTGTTCTCATCTTAATTATAGGTTATTGTATGTTAAGTCATTTGTCTTAAATTTTTAATGTCTGAAGAAGATACAAAATTCGCACGGCCAAAAATTCTTTGTACAGCATACTAGTGAAAAAGTTTCAAGTACTCGCAAATACTCGAGTATATTTTTAAGTACTCATGAAGAAAAGCCCTGAGTACGAGTACGAGTACTGAAGATTTTGTACTCGAGTATACTTGAGTACGAGTACGCGCATCTCTGATTCAATGAACCCAAAAAGAAGAGATCGGCAGCCTAATGACCTTTCATCTGACTGGATACGAGTTAAGTATCTTGTCACGATGCCAACGACCAGTTTATGGAATAAACGTTCGTCCAATATCAAGATATGTCCATTTTAAACTTCCGACACAAGATCAAGTTATTTTTAAAATTTATTAAGATACTTTTCAGCAGTGTGTTTATTTTGCCAAAGATATTTAACGCCTTTCACGTCTGAAAATGACGAACCATGTGTCCGACGATTCATCAAAATAGGCCATAGAACTTAAAGCAATCGGTATTGTAGCTGCTGGAAGAGCAAACTTTTTTGTACACGTTTGTCTATAACAGCCGATTATGAAACCATTAATAATAAATATACTAAATATCATTGTGAGATAATATTTAATTAATAGACATAAATTTTGTTGAACAAACATAAAATATTGCGCTAGTTTGCCTCACTACAGCGGGGGCATTTCATCATCATATATCCTTGAGGGTGAGGGTGAGTGTGATAATCGAAATAATGAAGAAAGATTTAAAAATATTTTCTTTATCTTTTACCTTTGATCTGCTGTTAGATTGGCAAGTTGCAAGAGACTTGTTTTTGCTGTAAAACGATAGTCAACTATTTCTTTTATGATCAAGAAATGTTTCAGTGGCATAAAAGTTCTTTTTTATCGTTTTACATTTCATAATAAATGAGAGAAAAACTATATATGACTTTCAAAGTATAAATGAAGTAGTTGAACCGAAATCTAGATCATGGTAGCTGTTCTCACCACTAGGAACTGAGACTGTCATTGTACATAGATCTTCGGAAATATGTATAACAGATACAGTTTGGTCTTGTGATTGAATAAATCGTATAGATCCTTTGCCATCTGAAGAGTCCCTTAAGCAAGGACGAAACCAGTCATGGCTGCTGTTCTCACCACTGTGGACGGATCTTATCATTAGATATTCTTGTTCTTCAAGATATCTAACAGTATAAGTTGGTCTTGTGATTCCTTTGAATCTTCGAGATTATTTGCCATCTGAAGCGCTCCGTAGCTGAAGCGAAATCTAGATCATGGTAGCTGTTCTCACCTTCACCCTCACACTCACATTGTTGTAATATCTTGTTTATTTCTGCATATATTTCATTTCACTGTCAGTTTATAACATCATTAGACAAAAATCAGATCGAGAATAATATAAGTAACGTTCTTTTTTTGCTAAACATAAAATCATAAAAATATTCTCTTTATCTTTTACCTTTGATCTGCTGTTAGATTGGCAAGTTGCAAGAGACTTGTTTTTGCTGTAAAACGATAGTCAACTATTTCTTTAATGATCAAGAAATGTTTCAGTGGCATAAAAGTTCTTTTTTATTGTTTTACCTTTCATAATAAATGAGAGAAAAACCATATGTGATTTCACTCATTTTCAAAGTATACGTGCCTTTTTCAAGAATCCAGAAAGTTTCCATTTTTTGATTATTTTATATAAAAAAAACATATATTCTTGTTCGGATCGAGGAGTTTTATTGCGATTTTGAATTTCTGGTGCCTTTTTTTTTCAAACAGACTAGAAATTCGACAGATTTTTCGCTTCACTTCTCTACTACAGAAGCAAAAGCGTAAACACGTGGAGGCGTAGACAATCCGTACGTCTTTAGGTGGATAGACATAACGACTTAACCTAAGGGAAGCCGAAGGGGTAAAAATATGAGTGGAATGCCGAGTCGAAAGTCCATTTCTAAATTTATCTTTTTTTTTTCCAATATTTACTTATCCTTAATTTTAAGTACCAGTACGACATCAACATCAACATCAACAACAAGTGTTACAACAGTGACCGTATTAGGTAAATATTCGCTTTAGAACATTTCTTGTTGATTTTTTGTTTTTCGCAATAGTGAAACCCGCAAACATTAATCTACCACTGGTTATAGGCTTATCATTATTGGCTCTTTTAATGGTTTTAGCATTATGTTGCTGCTGTTGTTATTGGTGGTTTTGGTATGTATACAGTTTTCTATCTCGAGATCAAGCACTTTATGCTATATGCGGCTATTTAAATGGAGTTTATTTTAAAATTCTATTTAATGTGCGTTATTGACCAGCAAAGGCTGATTTTAACTCTGAGAAGGTGCAGTATTTCAAGTGTGGGTATATCCATGTAAAATATACAGCTTTATACGTTAGTTGTGGCACCAATGACGAGACTCACAGCGTTTTGTATATTTTGTCGAACTGAATGTTTTGATGAAAATTGCAGATCCGCGAGTGATGCAGTTCAATAGGTTATGGATCTTTGAAGTCTATAGCGAAATTGCACGTGTTGCAGCTGTTTTGGCCTATCTTGTGAAGCTCACAGCGTGCTTTATCTCGATCCAAGATTGTCCCGGATGTATCAAGTTAGTTTTAAAAGTTGAATTAAAACTAGTTTCGAAGGTTATTCCAGGTGCATTAAATGGTGCTAATGACAGTGCAGCACTAAACCTGAGCAACGATTTTCGTTCAATTTCTTCTCATTCCTTTTTTTTCTTTCTGTTAATTGATGATTCATTGGAAAAGTGTGTTCATCTGTTTTAGTAGTGCTGCTGCTCGTCGCCGTCGTCGTCGCAAAAAAGAAGAAGAAGAAGAAGAAAAACTTCGACAACAATATTTGCTACGTCAGCATTCCCCGCCTCCTCCTTACAGTTCCAATACGCCTTCACCAGTCCCAACGTTGATAAAACGTCGTCATCCAAAAAGGACCATTGGTAAAGCAAGTCAAAGTCATCTGACATATGAATTAACTGATTTAGACACCGCCACAAGTAGACACAATGATTCAACAACTGTTACAACACTCGATAGTTCAGTATTAGCTGATATACATTTGAGTGTATTCAGTCTAAGAGAAAGGGAACCAAGTACACTTGGCATTGTTAAAATAAGTCGAATAAGTAGACTAGATCAACATATAAAACCACCGGTTGAAGATGATGTAGCATCTGAAATTCATCTTCCTTCAGAAACAGCTCGAAAACGTCCAATTAGTGTGACTAAACTGCCACGTGGAAAGTCGGCTATGTCATCAGATAATCGCTTCATAGGTATGTCAGGAGCTTCTTCTGGAAGAAAACGGAGTAATACACTTCCACCTTCAAATGAGGCCGACAAATTAGGTGGAGTGGAGGGTCGAGAAAACCAAATTAGCGTCATAAAGTTACCACGAGGCAAATCAGCTTTCTCAACTCATACTCATATTATTGATGCACCAAAATCAGCTGAAAGTACGCCAGGAAAACGCAGTACCATGCTGCCATTGTATGAAATTCGAAAATCAAGAGGAGACAGTGCCGGCAGTGTTCTTAAGTTGAAACAAACTGCTCATGAAAATTCGAAATCTTCTTCAACAGTAAATGATCAGTCTGCTTCAGTAGAAGACGTCTCACTCCAACAACAACAAAGAAAAAGCACAGCTGTTAGTGTTATGAAAGTGAAACGATCAATATCTTCAACTGGACCGAAAATAATAAACCCCATAGAAAATTTGGTGTCTTTCGATGTTGAAGCAAAACAAGCTAATGTATCTGAACCAAGTTCAAATCAACGAAAAATTACTTCAATCAACGATTCAAGTGTAACTGTAGTTAAATTGTCTCGTTTAACTCAATCTGCTGTTCCAGTTCATTCTTCACCATCACCACCAACAACAGTAGTTTCTAATACTGAAATATAAAATTCATATTCACCATTATGACGAACAGACTTTTCGGCCATACATCCTCTAAACGTTGACACAAAAGTATACCGTGAGGCTGAAAACCTCAGTTATTCTGAAATGAGCATACTATTAAATTGTTTAAGGATAATTCTTTGAATAGTGTACCAATGGTTACATGAAGGATTGTTTCATATGTCGAGATCCATCCTATTCGAAAGAGCATCAGATTTTGCTAAACTTTTAGAATGTTGCGAACAAACTCGAGGAAGACCCGACATTCTCGGTTTGAGGCTGTGAATTTTCTCCAAAATGGTTAATCCAGGAGCGCTGAAACAAGGCAGTGGTTTCTATCATCTGAAGTATATGGACATGTGCTCTCATTTGTTGCTAGTTCTTCTGACAGACCGGTTGATGGCCATCTTCGGTATTAAAGTTAGGGCTTTTTTAACCATCTCTAAACTCAATTTTTATTGTCAGTTCCCATTCCGGCTTCCGTCCCGACATATTTTCGGGACCCATGTCACTCACAATATATGAATCAAGTCTCAATCCATTGTTTAATTTCGGAGTTTTGAGATAAAGGTCTCCGAACATCCGAGTTTTCTAGAAAATTTTTTTTGAATCAAATTTCAATCAAATTTTATTCTGAAAACTACATTTCATACCCCGTTGTGTTCGGAACAAAATGGAAAGTTTCTGAAATTTCTAGCATCTACCCTTAAAAGTTGTTTATTACATCAATTGGCAAAACATATCTGCTGGGTAACCAGAATTTCTATTAAGGTGAATAATGATTGGTGCCGAATTCAAAGAGAAGAAGAGTTGTTTTGCAAAACGATAAATTATGTATTAAGGGTGGTTAGATATGTGTTGATGAGAAATCAGAGACAGATAGTTGCTTCCACATTAACGGAGTGTTCATAAGGAAATCAAGTACGAGGTCAAATTGTTGTTCGACGATAAAATTTAGATCTGCATCAATTTAAACCAGAGAAGACTTCCTGCTCGCCAGTCCAAAATGCTTCTTTGCGAAATCACGCCAGGATTGAAAAATACTCATGTTTTCATCGCTCTTTGTTCGAGCAGAGAAAGAGGCTTAACTGAAACAAAAACTATTAGAGATTGTAGCTAGGGATCTGTTATGACTTTTTGATACAAATATTTGTTTCTACTGCTCAGAAAATGTTACTGATAAAAAAAAGAAAGAAATATTATTTTTTCGGTGCCAGAGAGTGAAAAAAAAAAGTTCTATGCCACTAAATAACCCGTATTCGGAAGCGTATCTGTCACCATTTAAACATTGAAAACGCCCACTTTCGACTTTTCACTGCCCACAGTGAGGCGGACCATCGTAAGAAAAAACCCTTGCTTGGTTTTGATGTAATCGATAGTCTTGTTTGTTCTGGAGTCTAGTTTGGTATATGTGAGTAGTATACGGCTTGTGCAGCTAACGCCCTCCTTCTTTTGCTCTTTTTCCGAAAGTTATTGCAATAAAGCTACAAACTAATCTAAAATAGCAACTATAGTTGTGTAATGTTGGTGTAATCTACTTAATCTTCTATAGAAGATTAAGTAGATGATTAAGTAGATTGCACATTTCTCTACAAAATTAGAACAAACTGTTTTTCTGGTTTTTCTTTGATTAATACAGATTAATTAGAATAGTTTCGAACTTGACACGCTATTACATCCTGTAAAGCAAACAATTTTTTACAAAGTGGTATACTTGTTCAATGTTTACCAGCTCGCCTTCACTCTTTTAGACACGCTTTTCGGATAGCCCACGAATCGCTTTCTGAGGCTGTTTGTACAACAACTGTATTTTTGATAACGAATCAACGTTCAGAGTCGAGACACTTTTCATTTTGTAGAGAAATGTTCAATCTACTTAATCTTCTAGTTGCCATTTTAGATTAGTTTGAGGCTTTATTGCAATAATTTTTAAGAAGGAGGCCATTAGCTGGACAAGCCGTATAGCTTTCAATATGGTTCTCGCAGATCATTGCTCTCTTCTCTTACTCCCCTGTCTTCATGATCTTTTTGTTCTCTTTTTCTCTTATTTGTAGTGGCAGAATCAAGTGTAAATGCTTTCTTCTTTTCTGTGCCTTTAGCAGTCACATAAACACATACGAATAGGGGCATCTTGAGTCTGCGCCTCTGTACAATTGGCCGGAATCATTTTATTACAAAAATGAGTACTAATTACATATAACACAAAATATCATTTATTTTAATTTGTCCGGCAAACAAATAAACATGAATAAATCGAAAATGCCAAAACAACCATGACAAATGGAAAACAACTATGCTTTTAGATGAAAAATCTATTTTCATCATTGATGAATAGCTCTAGCTTTTATATCTTTCTCCTTCTTCAGAATTCATATAAAAACTTTAATGACACATCCTTTTTAGTGTAATTGATCAACACTGTACGAAAGCTGCTGCCAGAATACATATTCTTTCGAAGTCATTTTTGAAGTCAAACATCATAATCACAAAGTCACTCTGTCACTTGTTTAAATTAATACTTTTTAATTGTCTTGTTAAAAAATGACTTCGAAAGAATTAACATTAGCTTTTTTTGGGGCAACTCGCTAAGCTCCATCTAACCATGAGAAAACACAAAAAAGGAAACAAATTAACCAATATCAAAACAACTTTACTTACGTATGAACTCCACAGTATTGTGACGTGTTTAAATACGAACACTTGAACAAACGATTAAAATCCCACATGTGAATCTAGAAAAGAGTGCATCCAGATCTTATAAATATAGGAGAAAAAAAAATTGAATTGAGAATGAAACGAAAGACGATACAATAAACGAATAACTCGCCACGTATATGCCAAAATGTTTATCAATTATTTCATATCAGTTAATTATATATATTCTTGCAGCAACTTCGTACAGTGTTGATCGATTACACTAAAAAGAATGTGTCATTAAAGTTTTTATATGAATTCTGAAGAAGGAGAAAGAAAGATATGAAAGCTAGAGCTATTCATCAATGATGAAAATGAGCTTTTTTATCTAAAATCATAGTTGTTTTCATTTTTAAACATTTGTTGACACATACGATGAGTCTGAAAATTATTCCTCCAGAAGATTTTTGTTTTTTGTTTTTACAGTATCTTCTAAAGTATGGTGCAGTTTACATCAGACAAGAGTGCCGATTACCAGACGTATAGATGCATCAATACCGCCACATTTACACCCACCCATCAATGGTCGAAGCAACAGAATGATTATATCCTGAAATATTAAAGCGACCTGAAGAGCATTCTCTTTTGAAGTGTTATCATAAAAGAAAAATTAATTAATTTAGATGTGTATTAAAACGAATTATGAGGATTCAATGTCGTGACGCTGGTAAGTCAATATGTCTTAAATTCGAATAGTTAGTTAACTTACTAACAACCTTTCTCGAACAGCGTCCCATTATCTTATTTTTCAGCCATTTTAAATATTTCTCAAGAAATTTTCAAAATGTTGTTTTATATCTTGACTGTCTGACGTCTGGACTTCAAGAGAAAGAAAGAAAAACTCATTACTACATTCGGTGCAGAGTGAGCATCAGAAAACTATATAGAACAAAAGAAAAAAACAACATCAAAAAAGCTCAATTTCGTCGTAGCACTTTGTTTGGTTCAAATTTTCTGTTCTTTTCAAATCTGAAGTCAAAAATACTTCAAAACTACGTTTCATGGTCGAAAATGGAATTTCAATACATGGCGTTCTAAACTGATTTTGAGGAAACGTTTTTAATCGTTTTAACCTTATTCAACCACAATTAAAATGCGCTTGTTCGATAGAGTTTTCCACGCTCTTTACAACTGTGTATTTGAAAGTGACTATTGATTCATAAAATGACTAAAAACAAAAGAAAAACGTCAATTCTACTAGAGCTTTAGACATGCTGTTAGTAAATTTGATTTTTCAATATTAAAATAAATTTGTTAACCCTCTTTTTTTCATCTTGTAGAAAATTAAGTTTAGAATCAACATGTACAGTTTCAATGGTCGAATATGTTCTTAAATGTTTGAAAACAGCAAACTCGATTTCGTACGAAGAATTTAGATACATTAAAAACCCGAGCTTGTCTTATACCTTTTTCACAGCTTCAAATGTATAAAATGCTTTGAGTATAATGAAATATGAAACAGTGTTTCATTTACTAATAAAATAAACTAAATACGTTTGCAAAGTATGTTGGGTGCAATTCAATCGTTCTACCCAAGTTTAACGGATTCTGAGATGATTTTAAGTTCTGGAAATGTCAAATGTAGTTTCTATACACAGTGTTACACAAGAAGATAGAAAAAATAGTTTGGGAATTTAAAATAAAGGAGAAAGCTGAAAGTTTTGCTGTTTTTTTTTGTATTTTTCACCTTTTTAATTTTAAGTCTCGCACAATAACAGCTATTTTCTATTGAAAGCAAGGACTTTCTTCCTCTGAAGCGCATGGAGAAGAGCGAACGGACACACATGTGATGAAACGACAAAATAGTACAGTTACAACTGCCAACTGTATTTTATTTTTTATTAACATAGGTCATTCAACACTATATAATAATGAGGCTTCATTCTGCATCTTGCATTAATATATTTCTTTTAAACTTTAATTATCACAGCCGACTGGGCCACGCCCCACCGATATTTATTTTTGTAGAAGTGAGGCGGCATAGTAAAGACATGTTTTGGAAGGGGTGCGCGATTTTATACTTTAATCTCTAGAAGACCAAAATTTTCGTAATTTATTTGGATAAAAATAATTTTAAAACCTAGTGAAAAAGGACATGTAAGGAATTGTACTAGTAATAGAAAAATTGTTGAACTATCCATGAGACGTTTTCAAGAAAATGGTTGGAGATATTATTCGTAGACGAGTGACAAAGTGAATTTGTGAATATAATGTTTGACGGTTCGGTTCTGCAGAAGGAACCGGAACCGCGGTTCTCTTGCTTTCGGTTCTTCATCGGGAACCGAAACCGTGCTACCGGTTCTAAGAATGGAACCGGAACCGCGGTTCTGTTATTTTCGGTTCTTCGTCGGGAACGGGAACCGCGGTTCCGGTTCTGTGAATGGAACCGAAACCGCGGTTCTGTAGACGATTCCTTTTTTTCGGAACCGAGACTTTTTTAACTATAGATACTACAGTTTTATTTCGAGAAAGCTATATTTAGCGTTCGTAAGGTATACTTGTGTGCAACTTCTTTTACATAGGATCTTCTATACCTGGCAAACCCGATCAAATTTGTATTTCTTTATGAAGTGCAAAAACGACGGGCGAAACAATAATTTGTTCTTTTCTCTTCTGCCTTATCTTTTTGTCTTGCCTTTCTTATAATAAAATGAAAACACACTATTGACAAAGCTGCAAAAAGATATATTTGCCTGTCATCATTTAAAAGAATCCTTTCGTTTACTATAAAATGAATCTTATTTCGTTGAATTGTTAGTGCTTGAAAAATCCTTTTTCGGTTCTAAGCGAGAACCGAGAACCGCGGTTCTTTTTGTTTCGGTTCTAACTCGAGGGCCGGAACCGAGAACCGAACATCCCTAATCCTAAGCTCATTGCGCATGTCTGAACGCTTCCTATCATCAATCGAATGGCATACTCCTGCTTTCTCTAGTTAGTAAGATTTTTCTAGCAAACAAACAAGTGAAGTTTTGACCAAGTAAACGTTTTTATTCATTGAACCTCGCACGGGTGGCACTCTTTAAACTCGTTACGAAATGAAAAACATTACCGTCTTTTTTTAGACTGGGAAGCAGTTGTGAACTCGTTACTAGTTCAAATGAATATTATATTCTAACATAGTATACGGGAGACTGTTCTGAACTCGTAACGACTTTAAAGGAACGTTATTCATTACGAGTTGAAATCAGTGTAATATTCTCAAATGGTATAGGGAAGGCGTCTTCATCAGGACGGGTGGGGAGGGGCATTCAATGATGAGAGTGACCGGATATAACAACTGCAGCACCAAGTACGTAGAACGTTCATTTAAACTCGTACGAGTTCAATTCAATGTGCTTAAGTAAGAAACGGAAAACACGAGCGAAGTTTCAGTTTTGCAGTTAGGTAGAGAAGAGCAATCGTTTCTGATTAAAAAACCAAACTCGATCAAAAAACTCTTTTGTTTTATGGTACTTTCACTGGAAACACCACCATGCGCAGAATTAAAAAGATTAATGAAAAAATACATGACAACACACAGATAAAATTATTATTTCACCTTGGATATTGCTGTGAAAAAATTTGAAGTGTAGCAGAAAAATAGAGCGTAGTGAGGGCTACAAAATCGGTAATTCAGTTTTTCTTACTTTCAAAACATTACACAAGAAATAGTTTTTGAGTTTAGAAAGTTTTTCATCTTTACGCCTTCGTATAATTTGCTTACTTTTCTTGATCGAAGTTCTGAAATTAAAGTTTAGGTGTGATTTTCTAGAGGCTTTTTCATAGCGCGTGTTTTAAAAAATATTAACCTTGGGGTCTTGAAGAAACACGAGAAAAATAGAAAATACTGAGAAATACATTTTTTACGACGCACTCGGTACTTCACAAAAGACTAAAGTCATTTATTTTAATTTTTTGTTTGCAGCAATCCTCAACAATAGAACTACCTTCTTATATCTAATACACAATCTATATGTATGTCTGAACATGCAGACAGCATAGATTATTACCGTTTAAGTTACCAAAAGTTGACTTTTGAAGTTTGTTGTTTAATTTTTTTTAAAAGTATGACAGCTAATGGGCTTAACTTAATTTAACCCTTTGCCCCCGAAATTTTTTCGAAGATCCAAGAAAGGTGACTACTACAGTGGACCTTGTGGCATAGTGAGTGCTCACTATGTCCATTCCATAACTAAAATAAAATGAAGTTGCCTAGGCGACAGAACATTGAATATCCACAAGCGTGAACCTTAGGGAGGAACGACTTGAAAAACGCACTTTTTCTTTGTGTTGTCCGAATCTGTTCTGTCAAAATTCCACATTTTGAGAAAAACAAGGTCAAATTCGAAAGAAGATCAAAAACTGGATCGAATGACATGGGTCTCAGTGTTTTGGGGATATTTGAAGTTTGAGTGAAAATTTTGGTTTTGGATTTTTGAAAGAAACGAAGAACTTCAAGGTCATTCAAAACTTCTGGCACCCATATCATTTGATCCAGTTATTGCCCCTGAATCTGAATATGACCTTGTTTTTGTCAAAATGTTGATTTTTGACCGAGAAAATGACAAAGTAGAGATCCAATTTCAGAGTTTTCACACTGAATCCATAAAGATTGAATTTTTCGACAACCAAGTAAAATTTTTCAAAATCGGTAGATATTTTTTTCTCATAAGTATGTTTGTGAGAATGAAATATGAAAGAGAATTTTATATGCCAAATCCTAGGACTAGATAGGCTTGCAAGGTTAACCAGCAGCCCTTTTATCGTCCTGCTCGTCTTCAGTGATTTTTTGAGTTTTAAAATTTTCAAAATCCGTTTTCTACACCCAGTTTTTGATGGACAGTAAGAAAACAATTGTTTTGGAGTTTTAAAAATAGAATGAATGGTTGAGTTTGGGGTTTATTCAAAATTTTGCCTATTTTCACATATTTTTGAAAAATCGGTATTTAAAATTTTGTTAACTGAAAAATGTGTTCCAAAATTGAGAGATTAAGTTTTTGTATGCAACTCGATGTGCTCTATCGATTAAGGCAAAAAAACGAGAATTAAAATGCTGCACCTGAAGAGGAAAGAAGAGAAAGAAAGAATCTGTATATATTTAAAAATTAGTACTTTCTATGTCACTCCCCTCCAAAGTCCACAGGCATGGATATTTCATTACTGGACACGGTGCATCAAAACAACTTCACAAAAAATTTCTTTTCTTGATTGTAGAAAGTATCCTTGTAGCAATAGTTATCTACCACTACATCCGAAAATTCTTGTATGGTTAAAGCTGTGGAAAAAGATTTAAAAAATTTAAAACATTTAAAACTCTTGAAGTCCTCACCCCCCAGAGTCAGAAACCTATCTCTGCTCAGGCAGGTCTGATCTGAACCAAACTTTCAGGGAATTTGGACCATGTCAAACTTTGCTGTGATCTCTAACACTTACGAAAATTGAACAAAAACATTGTTTTTATATCGATTACCATTTACAATATGAACATTGTCGAATGTTTTCGTTGCAATATTAATAATAAACTAAAACTACTCAATTTCGCCTTCTTCTTCCCTTTAAATGTGATTTACGTCAAATGTTTTATCTCATAGATTTGGAAAATATCGATGTATGTAAGCATCTCAATCAAACACAAATAAAAAAAGGATAACTCAACATACAACAAGTTTTCAAAATTACGCAGACATTTAGAAGCAAAGTTTTCACATGCTTACTTGACCAATCTTGGGTATAAAAGAATTTTCGCTCTGAGGTAGTGCAAAACTGATAAAAAATCGTCTGTGCAAGGGATAATTGATAAAGCAATAACACCCTTTTAAATTATATGGGGGACGCGCACCCTCCCGATAATTGCGGTCCTGGATAGCACATGTTATTCTAAACAGTCCCTTTTACTAACTGTACCCGCAACTTCAGGGTGAATTTTCGAAAACCAATGGCCTCCTTCATATTCAATCCACTGCGATAGACATTCAATCAAATTTTTCGCGTATATTTCTTTTGACCAGTGTTTGGGGAGAGCGCTGACACCATAATAAACACCAGCTAGTTGACCATAAATGGCCGCTGTTGTATCTGTATCATCGCCCAAGTTGACTGCAAGCAATACTCCTTTCTGAAACGATCCGTTATCTTGCCAGAATGCCCACAATGCTGCTTCTAGCGCTTTAATTACATATCCTCCTGCTCTTATACCATCGTCATAGCCTCTTGCTTTCTTAAAAGATCCTTCAGCAATGTCTTGAACGGCACGGTGCAAAGGGTTTTGTTCAAACCAGCCCTCATCGAACATTCTCACATAGAATTTTTCGTGAAGTAAGTCTACTTTCGAATATCCGTGCATTGCCGCACACATTAATGCGGCAAAATATCGACATGCATCGGCTGCTTTTTGATCTCCGTGTGTTAACAGAGCACTTTTTCCCGCATAATAAATGGCGTCTCGAGGTGATCGACAGAAAAAGAGTGGAATGGGAGCAAGACGCATTAACGCTCCATTACCAGCCACACCAGATGTACTACAATCTGTTGACATGTCCTCATGAAGCCTAGTATAGCCGCTCTCAGGTTGATCAACACTTTGACTAGAAATACGATTTCGCACTTGGAAGTCTCGCTGTCGACGAGAAAATTCTTGTATGGAGTTACTTGTAGCTTTTCCAATATCAAAACATTTGCCCGTTGATGACATGTAGCCCTGTTTGTACCACCATTTGTATCGTACGAGTTGATCATATGCATTAAAGCCTTTCTTGGCGACAAGACTAGCGGCGAGACACAATGCCATTGACGTGTCATCCGTCCACTGACCCGCCTCTAGACCCCATGTACCGCCACCTTTCAAGTCTTCGACAGGATTTTGTAACATGAAGCTGCGGGGACGAAACTCGACACAAGCGCCCACAGCATCTCCTATCGCCATACCGAGCATTGACCCGAATATTCTCTCGTACAACATAGCGCATCGATGATACCGAGGATATTGGCGAAACATATCTTGGGGTTTGTCTCCAATTTTATTTAGCCATGCTTTGTCTTGCACGTTTGGCTTTTTTTCATGAACATTGCTCATGATTATGTGTCTTTTGTAACTGAATAGCTTTTACATGTCAGTTCTGCCTCTTACTTTCTCTTATCAACAATAAACATGGAATTTGTGCTGTTTGGTACACAATTCTTCTTTCATTCTGTCGTATTCACGGAGTCACGATGTATGACTCAAGTTTTCTTTCTGTAAAATTGCTTTCTCCAGTAATGTTGAAACAAGTTGGGATATAATGAAAGATTGCAATTACGATTTGCTTTCAGCGCTTAATCTTTTCTTTCTGTTTCCAAATAAATTTCAGACAACAGGGGAGGCATATAAGTTTATCAACAAATATTAAAAATAGTCAACCATAACACATGGCGCAGGAATAATTGCGCACTGTTCTGCGACCTTTTTCTCCAAGTCAACTTTTTTCCAGAAATACGGTTGTAGCCACTCGATAATATCCGTAGTTTTATATTTTCTCCAGAACTATCAAACGGTTATGGTCGGTTTATGTCTCACATTTAGCCAGAGGAGGTCCATGACAAGGAGGAAAATAAGGCTTAGCATTGTGATATTCGTGATCTCCGTACCCTTTTACACTATTCATATAAATCTAAGCTTCTCCAAACACAAATTTTTAGAATAATTTGCAATAATTAAGTGTGGTGCCAAAGTCAACGAGATTTTGGCTTCTTTTTTCTTGCATTGGAAAAAATATGGTTTTTCCTTCCTTTTCAATTCTTTCACTGATACTAATGTCCAAAATAGCCTTTCCCATGCTCTTTCTACTGACAGGTATTATTCATTATTCTCCAAAGTAGGAGGATCGCAGAGAAAAGTGATTGGTCAGAGATTTTTCCCTTCGTTCGAAAAATCACTCGTGTGCTCCCTTGACTTTAGGAGCTTATATCTGAGAACGATCTTCCATCACTTTTGAATGTATGACAACGCTCACGCCTCCCTTCGGTCGGCACTCGTAGCCACTATAGCTGAGAAATGTTGTAAACGTATGTGATTCCACAGAAAAGGGCACAATGTAATATAATTTATATAATTTTATTGGCTAGGCAGGACGATAATAATGGGGCTTTGCTCTCTTTTGAGCTGTCTTAGTTATAACTATTTGTTTCATCAATAAATAAATAAAGTTTAAAAAAAAATGTAATATAAAGCTAAAACTTTTTCTGACACTGCGTTATCAAAATGGACTGATTTCTGGCGACATCTATCTACCAACTACAGAAACGTTTGTTTAGTTATTTTTTTTCTCTGTGCATCAGTAATTATTTTTTCTCTTTGAAATATTTTCTCTCTTGTGTAAAAAATAATTTTCTGCTTTTCTCTCTTGTGATTCGCGTATCCATAGAATAACTGACAGCCATTTTTCCGTATTTTGCGCACAGACAGGAGCCACTTTCATAAAGAAACTTAAGTCTGACTTAAGTGAATGACTTAAGTCCAAAACTAAGTTAAAGTTAAGTGCCACTTAAGTCAAACTTAGTTTTTCACTTAAGTCTGTTTCAGAAAGCACAACTTAAGTTCGACTTAGCAGCTAAGTAAAGAATTTGACTTAAGTCAAAATGAATGCACTTTAAGTGCATTACCGTGATATATGTAGCTATCACTAAGGAGAAAATTTTAGAGGAATAACGCTGCTCATAATGACATTGCAAGTGATGTGTGCACGCGCGATCGTTTTTTTAGAATTTTAGAAATCTATTCAAAAATACGACGCTTTTAATAGAGTTTTTGGAAGAATACTTTGCATACACCTGTCCAGTCTACTATTCTTTATGTTTTTGTCGAGTTTTCGACATTTCTGTCAGTTTTCGCTGACCCGACTATATTGTTCCTTAGATCTAAATGCAGTGTTTTTGGTTATACGGTTCCGATTTCTGTTAAATATAAAGTGTGTACTATAGTTATTTGTCTTTCTTCTTTAACGTCTTTCAAAACAGCTTTATGTGAGTATCTCTTCCAGTGAAACATTTGTCAGTTAAGAATTTATATTTGTTCTTTGTTGCTTATTTCTTTATTTTTTTTTTCAAAAATTTATTCTTTTTTTACTACTTCTGGTTCTAACCTTAGTTGTCTTGTTTATTTTGTTCTTTTATTACTGTTTTTGTGTTGTTTGGCTTGAGTCATTGTTATTACAGGTCATTGATCTTTGATGACCCTCACTTTTCGTAAATAAAATTAAAAAAAAACAAAAAAAAACGTGAAAATCTCACCCTATCAATCTCATACGTATGTAGAAACCGACCGATAGTACAGAATGCTTTCAAAAGTTTCTTTATATTGAATTTTATTCGCCTCTTAGATGGAAAATGTAAAAATCAAAGAAGAAAAGAAGTTACGGAGTAAAAACTTTCATGCAGAGGAATTAAGAGTTTTAGTTGATGGTGTTAGTGACCATTCTGCAGTTCTCTTTGGTAAATTTTCAAATACAGTGTCAAATTCCAGAAAACATTTATTGTGGGATCGAATTGCTGAATCAGTATCTGCGTCTGGTTATTCAGAACGCAGTAGTGAAGAATGCCGCAAAAAATGGGCAAATTATAGGTTAGGTAGAAGTTTAGTTGACGTAGTAGCTAGGTTGTTTTTAAACACATGTTTTTTTTCCTTTTTAATTGTTGTAGCAGTGAAATTAAAAAAAAGGCCGCGGATATTAAACAGTCAGTCAACAAAACAGGTGGTGGGCCATCATCCGGTGGACTGGATGATATTGAACAAAAAGTTGTAGCTGTTATAGGTGAGAGGACATGTAAAAGCGCTAAGGTTTAGGAGTATTATTGTAATTTTTTTCCATTTTGTTGTTTCGCCCATTTCACGAAAACATGAAATAGCGTGTTGGTATTTCTATGTATTATAGGAAATATATCTGTTGTTGGTATTGGTGGTGGCGTTGATACAGATAGGTAACAAAAAGGTGGTTGGAGAATGTCAATACGCCATGCACATTAAACGGACTGAACGATCTTTAATTGTGTGCCTTTTCTCTTTTTATTGTAGTAATGCACAAGAAATACAAGATTACGCCTCATCCGCATTCGACGATGAGCATTTACAAATATCATCGTCTTCCACTCCTTCGAAAACGCGTAATGTTTTTGCCGACATCACTACAGCAACAGCAACAACACAGCACAACACAACAACAGCAACAACACAACACAACAAACACAACACGTTAGAACATGATCATTCGTATGAAGACAATGTAAAAACACCACAAAAATGTAAACGATTTAAAAAAGAAGAAGAAATTTACTCGATTATTGAAGTTGAGAAGAAGAAGCTTTATTTACAAGAAATGTCATTAACTGCCGAACACAATCGTACGGCAGCATTAAATTCCATTGCAAGTAGTCTGAATCAACTTGTTCCTATCATCAAAATAAGTGTTCAGTTGCAATGCGATACATTAAAATTTTTACGTTCATCAAATGCTGGTATAAGTGATATTTCTATTAGTTCATTAATCAGTGATACTATGTTTCCATCGGAATCAGCAATTCTACCACCACCACCACAATTATAACAGTAAGCAGTTTTAAATTTATTTACTTTCCGGCATTTAGCTTGAACGGTCAGAGGTGACTGTCTGCACGCTCGCTGATGTTTGATTATCTGACGTCATTGTTTTGTGTGTCTTTTTTGTTAAGGAATGAGCTATTCGTATGGAAAATTTAATTGTTTGTTATTTCGTTATTTACAATGCTGAACAATTTACTATTAGCTCGTCTTATACATTGTTCAGACTTGGTTTGTTTTGATCTTCATTTCAAAAAATTAGCCATTTACATTTATGAAGTGCTTCGTATTTTATTTATACACATTGAGGCACACACACACACACACACACGTTTATTTTTAATTTAGTATTATGTACATAGACACTACTGTTCGTGAATGATTTCCTTTTATATTTTTACTGTTTTATGTAACAGAAGAAAGAAGAAGAAAGAAAAATAAAAAATTGATGAAACGTTTTGTGAGCGTGTGTATCTCTAACTTTGATTTCACTTGTTGTATGTTAAGTTTTTTTTCTCTGTTTACTGTTCTGAATGTTTTTTATTCTGTAGAATAAAAAACTCATTTGTGTCTTGTCTTTCTCATGTTTGTTATACACTATCAACTTAGATAGCTTTTTTTGTTTAACTTGTTTTACTTGTTGTTGTTTCTTGAAAGAAAAGGTTTGGTTTTTCTATCTTAAAGATCCGAATAAATGAAGAAAAACATTGAAGAAAAACCATTTGCGTTTGCGGAATAGATTAGGATGAATCTTAAAAGCTGAATTATCACTGTAATGGAACAACTGAGATGTAGAAATCGTATTGATTTTCTTTTGTTTGTCTTCTATAGAGTTTATCATAGACTGTTCTTTAAAGGTCCGTGTTCGTTAGATTTTATTTACATGAATTACTTCCTCAACGTTTATTAACTTGTTGTTGTTGTTTTTTCTCGTTTTAGATAGAAACCGCTCGCTTATGATACACACAAATTAAAACTTTCAATATAAAAATATTTTTAAGAGAAATAAGTAATGAGTACAGCATTTCTTACATCGGTACCGGATGGAACTCCGTTAACGTTTACTTCATCGTCAAATTCATCAAGCAACACCTGTTGAATTCGATCTTCATCATCATCCGGCAAATTCATTTGTTTAGCCAAGTTATGTAAATAGAAACAGCTTAAAATGACTTTCACACATTTTTCTGGAACAAATTGTAAACCGCCACCCGTTTTATCTAAGCAACGAAATCGTGACTTTAAAACACCAAAGACACGTTCAATGGTACACCGACAACGTTTTTGGGCTTTGTTGAATCGTCGTTCTGGACCCGTTCCTGGATTAAGGAATGGTGTCAACAACCACGACCGGAGTGGATATCCACTATCACCGAGTAGCCACCCATCACCCGCTACACCGGCAGCCAACGTTGTTGCTATATTCGACTGGGCCAAAACGAAAGCGTCATGTGTTGAGCCAGGCCATTTCACCACTGTACTTCAAATCATCATTTTATGATCACATACAACTTGACAATTAATTGAATGGACGTTTTTTCTGTTGACAAACCGTTCTAAACAAATAAATTAATTTTCAAGTTGTATGTGATCATAAAATGATGATTCGAAGTACAGTGGTGAAATGGCCTGGCTCAACACATGATGCTTTCGTTTTGGCCCAGTCGAATATAACACCAACACCGGCTGCCGAAGGAGTGGTGATGCATGGCGGCCCCTAAATCCAGGAAGGCGCCCGAAACGACGGTTCTGAAAAGCTCGAAAACGCTGTCGATCGATTATCGAATGCGCTTTTGGAGTTGCAAAGCCAATTTCGTTGTCTGGTGGTTTACAATTTGTTCTGGAAAAATGTGTTAAAGTCATTTGAAGCGATATGCGGATAGAGTAAGGTGATGCGGTTTTTTGACGATTCCGATTTTACGTAAATTTAAGACATTTGTCAGTTTTGCCCTTGATTCTTGTCAGAACTTTATAATTTTTGCAAGACTCATTTTTGTTGACAAAGATAACGTGAAATTTGCTTTTTGGTGTCTATGCCTCAAGTCTTTTATGGCCGCCATCAAGTCCAACAACTAATTTTCGAGCATAGCAAATGAACTATGAAGTAGGTTTTTACCTTCGTTTTCTTTCGGTGTTTTAATTTGAATATGTGTGCAATCAATTGCTCCGATTACACGAGGAAATTTTGACATTTCGTAAAAACCTTGTTTTACTTCATCTTGTTCATTGGCTGTGCTTGGAAATTTTATTGTGTCAACTGCCAGTTTACCTAATATAGTTGAAACATCTTGCATGACACGGCTGACAGAGGATCGGCTAATCCCATGCACATCACCATCAACATAAAAGAATGACCCAGTTGCATAAAATCTTAGTGCAGTTAATAACTGAATGATTGGAGGAATTGCATTATTTCTTTGAGTTGCACGAACAATTTGTGGCGCAACTAATTTTAACAAATCGATTATTGCTGTCTTTGGAAATCTGTAACGTGCCAAAACCATATCATTCGTCATCATTTCCATGGGATTTTGTCTGTCTTGAAATATTCGTTCTCGTTTTAGTGATTTTGCGACTAAAAGTGCTGTTATTGCCATTTTATTTATTTTATAATTGAGAAAAGGCGTTCAGTTATGAGAAATAAGACCAAATTA